ATTGAAGCAATGGCATGATAAAAAATCTTAAATCTGATTTAGGAATCAAGAGATGGACATATTTTCTCTGCATGCCTGACCCTGGGAAAACTGTTGAATTTCTCAGCGCTTAGAAAATCTCAGTCATAAAATGAAGGACCTTTAGAAGCTCTATAAGGCAAATGCTATGCTGACTTAGTAACCTTAACTCTCTAATTTGGAAGTAGGCAAATTTTGCATGGCCTGTGTACTTGGAACACTTTTCAACATTTTTTGCATGGTAAGAAAAAGTCTAAAGAATACTATTTTGGTCATGTGAAAATTACATGAAATTCAAATTTCAGCATTCAGCTTTATTGGAACACAGTTATACAGTCTTAGTCCATTTTCTATTGTTAGCTGAAATAAAGACCTGACAATTTATTAAGAATAGATGTTTACTTAGCTCATGATTCTGGAAAGTCCAAGGATATGTCTGCAGTATCTGCTAGGCTTCAGCTGAGGACCTTCTAGTAAAATCAGTGCATGGCAGTGAGCTGCCTTTCTAATGAAGCAGTTCACCTCGTAGCCCATTCATCCATGAATTTCTCTCCCCTTATTACTCAATCACTTCCCACTCAACACTGTTGCATTGCGGTTCGGTTTCCAGTATGAACTTTTGGGTGACACTTTCAATCCACAGCACATGCCTGAATTTCTTACAGTTGCTTTCACGCTGAAGGGCAGTTGAGTAGCTGCATCAGGGATAAATGGTTAGACGATAAACCCTTAAATATCTATTATCTGGCCTTTAGAGAAAAAGTCTGTTGGCCCTGAATCAATCCATCCAGCTCTAAAGTCCTCAGCATATACACTAAACACTTCATAAACTACATCGCATCCGTTCGTATATAAGGAGTTTGCATAAAATGGAATTCAAAAATGAAAAAGGTATAGTCAGCATAGTCAACCTTGGCAAACATTTGACAAAGCTATGGATAGTGCCAGGATTAATCCTGCATTGCTAGAAAATTCTTCAGAATTATAAGCAAAGCTGGAAAAATGCAAAGGAGAAAATCATCTGGATAACATTAAAAAGTCATGTAATTTTGCTCCTTTTACGGTAAAATAGCATCTGATCCACAGCAGGGATCTTTATAGCAAATTCTTCTTTCTTCCTACATGCAGCTCTCACTGTGTGAGCAAGGGCATAAAGCCTGAGAGGGTACCACACAAACCACAAAGAAATGTGCCCCTTCCGGGGAGAAGAATGTTCCTAGGCTTCTAATTCTGACAAGTAAGTGGGAAGGAGCGCACACCCTGACTGTGTGGGCGTGGATGTGGTCCAGGGCTGCATGTTATAACTTTGACCTTGATCTTAGACATTTGCTGGAGAGAAAACATATTCTTTGCACGCAGAGCCTCCAAATTCTCTTGTTTACTGGGAACAACGGAGCTGCCCTTCATATTTTGTGCTAGGAGCTGTATTAAATAATTAGTGTATCATATCTTGTTGAAGCTTATAGGGCAGGTGTTATTATTTTTTATTGTTGAGATAAAGTTTAATATTGTTAAATTATTGCCCAAACTAGAGACATTTAAACCAGTTCTGTGTATTTTCAAGAGTCCACATTTTTCTTTTACTTAGAAAGTTGATTGTATAATTAACAACTGGTTTCTATTAAAAATTCATAGACTTTTTGTGATAACAAATAGGGCACAAGGTTTCAAAAGAAAAAACAGTAAGCCAGATGTGATGGTGCATGCCTTTAATCCCAGCACTCAGGAGGCTGAGACAGGAGGATTGCCATGAGTTCCAGGCCTGCGTGGGCTACATAATGAGTTCAAGGCCAGCCTGAACTACATGGCAAGACCCTGACTAAATAAATAAATAAACAAATAAATAACATCTTAAACAAGATAAAACATCAACTTTAAATAGTTATAAATGCAAGCTTTAAACATACTATTGGCTTGAAATGTAATTTTAAAAGTTGTGCATCTACTTTCAGTAAGTTTAAAGGGATAAAATTATCACCACAAAGAAAGACTGTTTTCTAACTTTGTGTAAGATGCCATACAAAGAGAAGCGTACAGCCAATAAATATGTGACAAAATGTTCAGCATCAACAGCCATTCAAGAAATGCAAATTAAAAACACTGAGATTGCATCTCACTCTGGAAAGAATGGCTACCATCAAGAAATCAATCAATAACAAATGCTGGTGAGGCTGTGGGAAGACCAGCTGGGTCCATTGTTGATGGGAATGTACTGATACAACCACTATGGACATAAATATGGAAATTCCCCAAAAAACTAAAAATGGAAGCTCCATTTGATTCAACTGTTTCCCTCCTAGGTATCACCCCTGAAGAGTTAAAGAGATCATATCACACTGATGCATGCATACACACGTTTATAGCAGCACAACTCATAGTAGCCAAATCTTGAAACAACCTATATGTCCATCAACAGATAAACGGGTAAAGAAAATGTGGTATTTATCCACAATAGAGTACTATTTTGTCACGAAGAAGGATAAATTTGAATTATTTATAGAAAATGGACACACCTTGAGCCCATAATGTAAGTGAAGTAACTCAGACACACAAGCTTAAATATTGTATAGTTCCTCTTACATGACAAACTCAACATATAAATAAAATACAAAATAAAAGACAGATATTAAAGAGAAAAAAGAGGAAAGAGAACTTATTGTAATATAGTGCAGACTGTATCCAAAAGTGTTCCTCAACTTAGTACAGTTACGTGTTTTATATGACTAACAAACAGAGAAGGGTACAGTTATAGTCACAAATGTGCTAGGAATTTGCATTTAACCAGAGGCAGTGAAATCTAAACTCCATGTCTGTGGATCATACTGGACACATGACCTCCGCACAGATTAAAGTCACCAGAGATATTTCCAAGTCCCTGCCTTTGCAGCCTTCCAAGAATTGGCGGGGATTCTAGACCTCAGTCTAGCATTGGTCAGAATGCTTAGCAATGCCCAGTTTGGCCTTTGTAGACTGACAATTATTCCTCTTCCAATCAGCAGCTCCCTCTGCTGTCCAGTTTGTGGAACTGCAGGCAATGCGCTCTCACCTTCCTCCATTTCTCCTTAGATCTCTATTTCACATTCCACAATTCGGTTCATTCTATCTCAGGAGATCTATATTTGTTTGTTTGTTTAAAGAAAATAATGTTTTTTTAACCTATATCAATACGTTTGCCTTCATTCCTGTATTAGTCTGCTAGGATTTCTGTACAAAAGAACCACAAAATGGGCCGCATGGGCTGCGAGGGCGTGGAGGGAGAGTGTTCCGTGCTTCTCCCACTGTGTTCCCCGAGCGTCCTCCCTGAGTCCATGTCTGTGGATCCAAACTCTCCCTTTACGTGAGGACAGTGTCCCTCCCACGTGACCGCATTTGGACAATAGCTCTATATGCAGGGACCTTATTTCTAAATAAGATCGCTTTAGAAGATATGAAGGTCAGATTACGAAATAGGAATTTGGGGGAACAACACAACCCATAAAAATCCGTTTTTTCTTCCTTCTTCCAACTTGCTCAGATATTGCAAGGCAGGCTTTCATTCCCATCCTCTCCTCTATCCTCCCTGTGCTGCCTTGTCAGCTAGAAAAGCATCCCATATACCATGGGAGCCTGTGAGAATGGGTACTTCTAGGAAAAACAAGGCCGTGCGCCTGGAACTTCACCTGAGACCTCCGGTTCTGCCCAGAAGCCCCTTCCCAGGCCTTCTCCAGTTAAACCAGCTTGTTTTCTTTACCTCACCCACCATCATTTGGGATATTTCCCACATGGTGCTTTCCTGCCCCAATCACTCACATTTAAATAGTATCACGTTCTGCTGTGCTTCTTTTTTTTTCTTCTATGCTTGCATTATCGGTGAGTAGTATTTTACTTGTCAAAAATAAGCCAGAATCAACATCTTTATGAGATAATAACAATTCCTCCCCCACTCCTCAAACCACCCACTCCCCACAGCCGTAGGTGCAACCATTTCTCTAAGTCCTGAGTACCAGCTATGTGCAGGGTACTGGGGCAGAGGTCAGAGATACAAACGTGAGTCATGATGTCTGCTATAAATACACTTGTAATCTGGAGAAGAGAGACACAACTAGTGCTCTGTCTTATAACAGTGATATTTATAAAATAATATTCAGCAAAGAAGATGGAGTGGTTAATTAAGCATCAGGACTCAGAAGTCCTGGTCCACCAGATAAAGTACAGCCCTCTCTGTGAAGATGCGATTTCTTTTATTTTCTGTCCTACAGAAAAGGGCTTCATGGCACATCGGAGGTGAACCAAGAAATAGATAGGAAAGGTGAATGTGATGTCAGATGAAGGGTCTTTGAGGAGTTTTCCGCCACCCACCACCCTCAGGCCACTGCTGTGTTAGACTTCTCTGAATTTGTTAAGAATCCTAGTATGTTAAAGTGAAGGGTGCCATCTTTGACCCAGGGAACATACACTTTGCTCAGTAGAAATAAAAGAAATATTTCTGAGCCAGCTTTTAGAAACTGCACTTCAAGCCTCGTCACCAACTTACAGGAGTCATTATAATTATCTAGCCAATGAAGTGTTGTCACACTTTTCATCTAGCCTATAGATACTGTTATGAGCTGCACGGTGGCCAGTCATCCATAAAAACTTTTAATTTTCTCTTGGCAGTTAGTTTCACATCATTTCCACTTGTACCAATTCTTGAAGATTGTTCGGGGCTGAATTATTTCAGTATCTGCCATATACCCACTGAGCTAAAACTGGATGCACTCATAAGCAGTATTTAGACTTACTCTTTTGAAAGAATTATCTCAATATCTCCATTGTCCCTCAGACCATCTGGTCATGGTATCAAAAGTCAGAAGGAACTTGTCAGTATGGTTTGTGTCTGAGGCCATGACTTGGTTAGGCTCTTGCACATGGGTCCTCTATTTCTCTCATTTGCTTACTATGAGTTTACAGGAGACGGTTTGCTATGGTGTCACATAAACACCCATATCTTTCTTGGTCTGCAGGTTGGTGTTTTGAGGAGTCGTTGGGGTCTTTAAAAAGGAGCCCTTCAGTCACTGAGCCTGCCCCTGAGGGGCGACTGGGGGACTGCACACTTTCTCTTCTTTTTCCTGGCCATGAGGTAAGAAATTTGTTCCACTGTTCCCTCCGTGCCATTCTCCCTGTACTCCCAGCAAAGGCTCTTATCAAGCCTGTTGGTGCACACCTACAATCCCAGCACTTGGGAGTCTAAGGCAGGAGGATCGCCGTGAGGTCCAGGCTGTGCTGCATAGGGAGTTGAAGACCAGCCTGAAATACATGGGGAGAGCCTGTCTAAGAAGGACATGGAGGCGGGAGGTGGAGCCTCTACTTGATCATGGACTGTAACCTCTAAAAATCGTGAGCCAAAATAAACTTTTTCTTTATAAAAGTTAATTATCTTAGATATTTGTTATACAGAGAAAACTGAGTAATACAGCTTTTATGTTACTGAAAAAAAATTCATGATCAGCCAGGGATTTAGCTCAGTGGCTTAAGTGCTTGCCTGGTTGATAAGTGTGAGGTTGTGAGTTCAATCTCCCGTACCAAAAAAAAATTATGATCTGTGTTGCCATGACCAAAAATCATGTCCTCTGCTTATGTTCCCAGAATTGTGGTTCAAACCAAGAAATTTCAGAAGGCTACAGCTAAGAGAGTCAAAGCTCATCTTACCTATCAGTCTTAGTTTCTTTCTTATTGCTGAAGCAAAATATCCATACTCAAAATTAAATGACGAAGTTTGTTTGGCTTACAGTTTGTAGAGGTTTTAGTTCAGAGTTGACTGGCTCCAAAGCAAAGTATCATGGTAGAAGAGCATCACAGAGGAGAAACAGCTCACAGCAGCCAAAAGGCAGTAAGCAGCAAGCAATGAGCAGTGACCCTCTTTCTGTGCCTTATATCTTACCCAGGCCACCCCTCTTGGAGCAGGTAACACTCACACCAAGGTGGGCAACCTTAACCCTAGCATTGCACCACACAGCAGTGTCTCTGTTTACACAGTGTCTTTGTGACATACAGCTTTGCTTTTAGTGTTTCCCATTTGATTTTTTCCTCTGTTCTTGCTGTCAACTCTCTCTCCATATGAGCCATGTTAAGGATTTCAATCCTCATCTAAAAATATAGCAGATCAACTGAAGGATTTTCAAGCTACAGTGAGCAAGACCTGATTTTACACGTGTTTTTTAAAACTCCCTAATGGCAAGTAGAGAATGGATTGAAGGAGAACTGCAACTGATGTCACCCCAGAAATGACCTCATCTGCCCTTGAAGACCCTCCAACCAAACCATAGAGTGTGTACTTAAATCACGTTTGACCCAAGTACACCTAGCCAGCATCTATGGCAGAGTCCACCTAGACAGAGACGTGCTGGTTACTATTCTCATGCTGCCTTCCATCTGTTTCTCTCTTTCTCTCTCTCTCTCTCTCTCTCTCTCTCTCTCTCTCTCTCTCTGTCTCTCTCTGTCTCTCCCCCTCTCTCTCTCTGCATCACTCCTTCCCTCCCTCGCTCCCTCCTGATTATGACTGAGTTAAAAGGATGAAATTCCTTTTTACTGGAGTCTTCAGTTGAAGCCCCGAGTGACTTCAATGACAAGCCCTTCTTGGAAACTATTAGTCAACAAATTTGAATTAATAGATACAGAAACAATCTCAGCTATGACATTAGGGCCTGAGATAATTTGGGGCCAATAGAGTGATGAAAAGATGTTGCTTGGGGGGGGGGGTTAGTAGGACTGGAGAGAGAGAGAGGCAGAGAAGGGGAATGGGGCTCCACTTCGGAGTTTGCCAAGACCTACGATAGATACATTCTTCCATGTTCCCGTAACTTCTAAGGACACAGGATCTTTGCAGTAATCCATCTTCGCTCTGTGTGTGCATGTGCGTGTGTTCATTTGTGTACTGTGCTGACTGAGCTTCTGGTCCTTGCTACTGGAACACTTGTCAAGCTGGAAAAGTACACAGACTCGGAATCTTCCCTTATTTTTCCCTTCCTGGACTTCTCTCAGTCGTCCCCATATCAAGCCACACCTTTGTCAAGCTTTCCCTCCCTTCCCAGGTGTGAGCTAATCCAAACTGTGGCATTCCTGAATACCAGATAAAGCTCTGTGTGGTATTCACAAGCACGCATGTCTCCACCGGAGAATCTTTCCAGGACTCTGTAACACACAGAATAACGGGACTTGGGAATTGTAGGGACCAAAGTGGGCAAACCAGAGTGCAGTGTATGATGGTCATGTTAGGGGCTGTCTTGCTTCACAATTTTCAGTCACAATTTGTTTTTTTTGTTTGCTTGTTTGTTTAAGGGGTGGGTTTGGTACTGGGGATCTTACTCATGACCTTGTACTTGCCAGTCTGGCGCTTATTATGCCACTGAGCTAAATCCTCGGCCCTTCAGTCACACTTTGTCACCAAAGATCAGACAAGCTCGCTCAGCAAGCTCTATTTCATCCTTGACTTAAAACCCTAAATCATTTTCCTGAAAAGAAACTTCAGTACTCAGCTTCTCAGAAAGGGACCTGAAAATTACATTGCATTACACCGTCTAAGAGTCAGCTCCTTGTGGATGAAGCCAAAGTGTTTTTATAAAAGAAGACAAGTAAAACTCCTACTTAGAATTACGTCAAACTGAAGGAAATAAAGAGGCATTATCTACAAGAAACCTTATTTCTAGTAGAGTAATACTACGTACTCACACACACACAGAGAGAGAAAGGCGGATGAATTCCCGTCACCAGAATGTAAACGGAGATTAACTTTGGATGAGGTGGCCCATGTGTTTTTATTTTGATGTGTTTAGTTTTTGCTTATTTGTACTTGTTCCTAATGTTTTATAACGACATGACATTTGCAAAGCAATTGCATTAATATTTTAAGAATATGAAAGAATAAAAAATAATGTTTCCAAGAGACAAAGGTAAAGAAGGCCGGAGGCAGGGAGTTTTTAGGAGCCCTGACCCACACTCGTCCAGGTGCCCATTATGTGGACCCGCTCCACAGAGCGCTGGGTCCCAACCCGTGTGAAACGCGGGCTCAGTGTACCCCCAAGGAAGCAAAAGCAGAGAGAAGAATTTCTCCTCATAGAGGATTTACTCAATAGTAAAAACACTTTGTTCCTGTTTCAAGTTTAAATTATAGCCACAGCAGCATTGCAAACACGATGAAAGGATGCTTCAGGTCAACTTCAAAGCGGGCTGTGACAGAGGCTGTGGGGGAGAGGCCACCACCCTCCCGCCTCCTGGCCGCACCCACCCAGGACTAGAAGGAGCCTGCTCACTCTGTTTGCTCTCCAGGGGATTTAACGGATGGAGTCAAGATGAGGCAACTTCCAACATGCTGCATTCTTCCTCCTGCCCCTGCCCTCCCTGCTGTTTCCTTCTGTCCCTCACTCTGTAGCAACTGTGTGTTCTGCCCCGCCACACTACCCCGCCCGCTGTCTCTCAAAGGCTAGAGTGAAACACGTCCTAAGCCCAGAAGCCGCCTGGCCGGGTGTGCAAAAGGTGCGCTTCAGACGCTTCCCAGCAGCTGTGGGCGGCTGCTGTCCAGGGCTCCAGTCCCGAGCTGGGATCCAGCCTAGAGCTGGCCTCCCACTTGAGCCACTGGATTTTCTAAGGAATCCCATTCACTTCATTTTTAAGATTACTTCAAGAAGCCCTAAGGGCGTTTATGTTTTTCTTTAGGAAAATACGTTTATTTTAATACCTTCAGCATGAATAAGATCTAAAGGTAATACCACACAGATCAGATCAAACCAGCGTTACAGTTATCAAACTGCCGCTTAAATTCTGAGTCCCAGAGGTCCGATTTCAGAAGGGCATTCTCTTCTTTTATAATCACAGTGATTACTACTGCATTTTGTTGTTAATGTATTCAAAGCGTTTATACATTTCCTCCTTGAACCAAGGCCTTGTGCATGCTTGGCAAGCATTCTACCCCTGAGCTATAGTCACAGTCTAGTTTGTTGTTTTTTTTTTTTTTTTTTTTTTAACACCTTTCAGGTAAAACTCTGTAATTTTGTTAAAGCAACAGGGGCCAGCAATGTATGAACTCCAGTTTAGAAAGAAGGGAAAGAGACTAAAAGAAGCTGGTGACTTTCCATTGAAGGAAGCCACGTTAGAAAAACTGAGGGCAGTCACCCCGTCTAGAGCTCTTTGCCCTGCAGCTCCTTTCCCAAGAAGAACGGACTTCCTGTCCTGGCTTCGCCTCATGGCTCCCTGGGTCAGGCCAGTTCTTGAGGAGAAACTTTAGGCCCCCTAAAATAAATACATTTCCAATAATTGTTTACATTTTACGTCTAATGATTATCAAGCATTTTAAAACATGCATATTATTTTGGTCTATTGACTTCTAATAATATTAGATCACTCACTGCATAATAAATTCTTAAACACAGTCTTAGAGACCCAGGAAATTAAAATGTTTCATTTACATAAGTATTTTTATTGAAGAAAATTATGATGGGGGGGTTAATAGAAACTTGCAAGCATAACGAGATAACAGGATAAAATTCTGTGAGAGAAGTGAAATGGAAATTGAAGTCCCAGGAGGCAACGTAAAGTAACATCACAAACTTTCCTACCCCTAGAGAACTTTTCTGTGCATTGCAGATTCATTCCTAGCTGACTCGCTGGTACCTTGCCAACCAATTAGTTGATTGTAGTGATTATAAAACAACTACATTATTTATAGTTCATTGGATATATTTAGAAGAATAATATAACAGTGCTATTTCAGTTTCAATCCTTAGAATAAAAACTGCATCTTTTATACCAAGCACATCAATGATTAAAAAATTGATGTCAGACTGTTTTAAAGTGAGTGGTACAAAGCTTTTCAAGATTCTTTAAATATTTGGAAGACCATCGCGTTAGAGCACTTGGTGCCTCATCTGAGGATGGAAGCTTTTTCTGGTATTTTTAAGTTTCTTTTTAAAATTAGTATGCTTATGATATATAATAATTATAGTCATCATGAGGAAGGCATACATATACCTATCGCATCTGAATCACGTTTAGTTCCCTTCCTTTTTTTCTATTTCATCCAACACCCTGATCTCCCTCCCGCTGCACAGTTTCCCGCCCTGTTGCTTGTATGTGTCTTCTATTTTGCTGTTTGAGAGAAAGGGATTACATTGGTCAATCACCACACTGAATAGATAGTTCCTTTTAGATTAGACTGGACTGGATGTTTTATTTTGGAGACAGGATCTCTGCAGGTCAGGCTGGCCTTGAAGAATTCTTAGTGATCCTCCAGCCTTAGCCTCCCGTGTACCAGAATTATGGACATACACCACCAGGCCCGGCCAACAGAGTACTTTTAAAAGC